ACCCTCGCCCCTATAAACCCACTTGCCAGCTCGGAGCCTGCGCCACGCCCGCGCAGCGACGGCACCGAGCTCGCCCGGGACGAGGCGAGGAGGCTGCGGTTTAGGGCTTAGGGCTTAGGGTTTAGGGTTTATATTGTTTATAGGGTTTGGAGTTTGGGGCTTAGGGTTCATAGGGTTTAGGGTTCACAGGGTATGGGGTATAGGATTTAGGGCTTTAGGGTTTAGGGTTCGGGTTGTAGGGTTTAGGGTGCAGGGTTGTAGGATTGACAGCTCAGGGTGGAGGGTCTGGCGCTCCGTTGGGGTTTTGGAGTTTAGGTTATGGTTTTTAGGGGCTGGAGTTCCGGGTTTAAGGTTTAGGGTTTAGGGTTTAGGGTCCAACACCACGTATTAGGAGATCCGCAGCACCGAACCGGACCGTGCCGTGCAGTACCGAACCGGACCGTGCCGAACGCCAGCAATACCACGCAATACATACCGCAGCATACCGTTGTAAAGCAATACCGTACCGCACCGATATTAAACGGCCATGAATGACGCCCCACAGCCCACACGAACCTGGGTTGTGCATGGGATTTACTTATAGGTTGAACTTACTAAGTCGGTTTTGGGGCCCCTTAACCCTAAACCCTAAAACCTAAACCCAAAACGAAGAGCAGGTTGCAAGAACCCCAAACCTCCAAGTATGTGACCGCGCCTTGGGCCGGGGGCGGCCGTGCAGACAGCAGGAAAGTCACCTGCTCAGGAGTTGTAGGTTTAGGGTTTAGGGTTTAGGGTTTAGGGTTTCGGGTTGGTTTAGGGTTCAGGGTTTGGGGCTTTGACAGTTTTTGTGCTGAGCGTACCCCAGCACGCCATCTGAACAAACCCCAACCCCAAACCCTGAACTCTAGGTACGGCCTATGCTTCGCAATTTCGGGTTTTCGGTTGTCGGGCTTTTTCCGTCAGACCCCCGATACCTTCATTTTGTGTGCGGCTGGACTGTGAGCCCTGCGGGGGCTTCACAACAGCAACAACCTAAACCTAAACCTAAATTCAACAGGGTTCGGGCCTGTGAAAGGCAGGGTAAAAGCTTGTGGGTTAGAAGAAAGTCTGAGCCCCGGACCTGGCCCCGAAGCACGACGTCCCGCCCTGAAGCCTGTAAACCCTAAACTCCTGGCCCTTGACTACCATAAGCTCCCTGAGCCGTGAATTGCCCGAAAGGCCCCAAACTACGGTAAACTGCCCCGAGCCGTAAGCTACCCGAACCCTTGCACTGTCCTAAACCCGAAATCCCAATGTCTCAAGCGCCTATACCGTATACCATGAAACCCTGAATAAGTAAGCCCTATCTCAGGGTCATCTTGGGCGAGGCGGACAGAAGTCTGGTGCGTCTACAGTGTCCCCCCCCCCCATCGAAGGGTTATAGGGTTTAAGATTTAGGGTTTAGTGCCTGCGCAAAAGGTGCCCCTAACACCTAACATAGCGGATCCCGTATGATTAACTGCAATTCGACAGGGATTTCAAGGGCACATGCTCAGCAAGCATGTAGGCTCTCGGACTTGTCCCTCTCCAAATCCCGTCCCCCTGACATAATTCGCTCCCCACCCTAAAGCCTAACCCTAAACCCTAAACCCTAAACCCTAAACCCTAAACCCTAAATCACCCCCCAAGGCCCCCTAAACAAAGAAGAGAAGAGGATTAGGCTGTCTACCTGGGCCTCCATTTACCTACTATTGGGGGGGGGGGTTTATGCCTGACATACAGGGGGCTATAACCTACTGTTTTGTAGAGTTCGGGTTTAGGGTTTAGGGTTTAGGGTTTAGGGTTTTAGGGTTTAGGGTTTAGGGTTTAGGGTTTAGGACAGGTAGAGTTTGCGGCTTAGAGTGCAGAGCCCCTGACCCAGAAGCCAGAATTCCTTCTGCCTCCGACGACGGGCACGACGCTTTGCCGTGGAGTGAGCCGGAGTGTCTGCTGAAATTGAGACCTCCCGAGCTGCAGCAGCAGCTTCGTGAGGGCTTAAGAGTTTAGGGGTCTACTGAAGTGATTAAGCCCTGTGGGGTTGAGAGTTGAGAGATTAGGTGGGGTTTGAGGATGTAGGCGGGGGTTGAGGGTTCAGAGCAGGTCTCAGTCCTTGCAGGTCCTAGTGACATGTTGACCACATTCGATAGTACTTGAAGCCGTTTTGGTCGCTGCCTTAACAGTGTTAACATTGCTTGATGATGTTGTTGACGGATTTCCAAGGTTCTCTGGCGCGACCCATGAATTAAGATTTTTACAATGTTTGATGATTCTCCGATGTTTAGTTCTTGCTGAGGATCTGTGATGACGTTTTTAATCTCTACTGCTTGGACATGATCTTTTAAAAGGATGTTTGACCATAAGGCCCATGCTACAAGACCTCACAGGGCACAGACGCGGGTACATCTGAATCCATCTTGGTGGTCTAAGCAATGCGGAAAACACGGGAACGGGAGACGCCACCGGTGTACACTTTGGGCTTCTGAAACCACTATAGGTTAGCGTTCTGAAACGTCCAACCTCAGGATAACCTCACGGCTACAAAGTTTTGGCTTTCACGGTGAGGGCAGAAGGTTGTGAGGGATGCATGGTTTGGGGATGTACAGGGCTTAGGGTGTTGGGGGTGGGATCTTGGGACGTAGGTTTTTAAGGGTTCCACTCTAACATTCATGGGATTGCCTCAGAATATTGCACCGGTTCCCCGCGCAGCAACCTACACACAAACAAAACGGTTTGTAAATCCTTGAGGCCAACACCACGCAAACCTCCTCGAGGCTCCGTTGTGGGATGCTTGCTTCCCCGCAACAGAGCCGACCCAAAAACCCCTTGAGCCCCTTGAACCGCTTGAGCTCCTGGTATCCAATAGCCCCTGGAGCCCAAAATCTCAAAGCACAAGCCACAATTGCCCCAAACCCTAAAGCCTACACCCCCTCAACCCCAGAAGCCTTAGAAGCCCCTCAACCCCAAGGAAGCCCAAGGAACCCCAAAACAAAACTAAACCCTAAACCCTAAACCCTAAACCCTATAAACCCTATAAACCCTAAAAACCCTAAACCCGAAACCCTAAACCCTAAAGAAGCTCAAAGACGCCCCAACACAAAGCTGGCCCGTCCTGCCTCGGTGACAGGATCGTGGGTGCAACCTTCCAGCAGACAGGGCTTAGGGGCTTCGCCCGGTTTAGGGTTCACAGGGTATAGGGTATAGGGTATAGGGTATAGGGTATAGGGTTTAGGGTTTAGGGCTCCAAGGATGCGAGTCGTGTCGACTCTGACAGAATTGCACTTATTCAGCAAAAGGGATTGGGAAGCTCAGGGTAGGCGGAATCAGCAAGCTTTCGTTTCTCGAACCCTGCATGCACACCCCGAGCTTGGGGGGAATTTGGGTTCAGAGTCAGCGTCCCCCCCAAAACAATTCTTCGGGGTTCAAGGGTCGAAATCCGGAGTCTCGACTCAAGCCTCTTTGACAACTGTACTTAAGAAGACAAGAGCATAAGCCCCTAAAAGTGGGGTTTAACTTGGGCTCTTATATGGGGGGGTAAAGTCTACATCCCCGTAGAACCTCTAAACCCCAAACCAAGTAACCCAAGTTTGGGGTTCGCAGTCAGGGACATATAGGCTTCGAGAAGTGGTAAGTAAGGGACCCTGGCACGATTTCCCTGAGCCTCCGCCAAGGACCTACAATCTTTCAAGTCCGGAACCCTGAATCCAGGACATTGGGGATCCTAAGGCCTATCAAACCTACAAAGCCCGTAAACCCTTTAATAAAACAAGCCTACAAACTCTGTAGAGCCAAGAAAGCCTGCATAAAGCCTGTTAACCCTGCAAACCCTATACCCTAAACCCTAAACCCTAAAAACCCTGTAAACCCTCAACCCTGAATCCTCACTCAATACTTGGGCTCCCCGACACAGGCGCCCAGCTGCGAGACGCGCGTGGTCGCGGACAGGGCCGCCGCGGACCGCGCGGCAAAGGGGGGCTCGGGAGCCGGTGCTGGAGCCTTTGCGGAGTGGGGAAGCAGTTGCTGGAGGAATTTTTGAGGGTTGAGGGATTGAGGGATTGAGGGATTGAGGGATTGAGGGATGAGGGTTTAGGGTTTAGGTTCCTTGCATGGGGTTCTTTGGGGGGTGGGGGGGGGGGGGAGTTAGTTGGGGTAATCGGGGAAATCTCCACCAAGACCACAAGCCTCAGTGCCTCGAGCAGTGCAGGCCTCAAGCCCTACAGAACCTCTAAGCCCTAAGCCCTAAGCCCTAAGCCCTAAGCCCTAAACCCTAAACCCTAAACCCTAAGCCCTAAACCCTCAACCTGAAGGCCCTAAAACCTCAACCTCGAGGCCCCTTAACGCCCTGACGCCCGAAAGCTTTGAACCCTCAACCCGAACCTTCAGCCGCTGCTCCAGAGCCCTAAACCCTAAACCCTAAACCCCAAACCCTAAACCCCAAACCCTAAAGCCCAAACCCTAAACCCCAAACCCCAAACCCTAAACCCTAAACCCTAAACCCGAAACCCTAAACCCTAAACCCAAAACCCGCGCCGCGCCTGCATTGGCCTCTGGAGCGGCAAGGTGAGTGAGGCCTGGCCACCGCCGAAAGTGTTAGGTTCTCAGGGAGTTGGGGGAGCCTCCCTCAACCCTAAACCCCTTAAACCCGAGACCAACAAAACACCTAAACCCCCTAAACCCCTAAAAAACCTACCAAGAAAGACACAACTCTCCAGACCCCGACCGTGGCACGAGGCCCCTGAACCCTCAACTCCTTCCGCCAAAGCAGGCCCAGACGAAAGCCTCAATCCTGAAGCCCTGCCTTAGACCTTAAAAATGCCCTCAGTGTTTAGTGTGAGCCCAAGACCCTGAGGTTTAGGGTTTGAAAGGGCTTAGTTAGGGCTTAGTGCAACCCGAAGCCCTGTTCCTACTAGGGCTTTGGAACCGCAAACCTTTTTCCCAAATCCGCAAGGGCACTTTTTCTCCAGGGTTTTGGGCTTGCGGCTCCTCAGGTGAACCACGTAAACAAGCATGCACCCTTAAACCTTATAGGGCTTAGTGTGCATAAACCCTAAACCCGAAGAACCCGAAACTCTAACCCCTAAAGCTGGAGTTTAGGGTTCTGCAGGTGGAGCTTAGGCCACAAACAAGCGGGCCCCACCCCTGCCGCCGTCGCGGGCAGGACGTACCTTGCCGGTAGCCTCTTGGGACGTGGGGAAAAATTGAGGGTTTAGGGCTGAGGGTTTATTAATGTAAGAAGGCTCCCCATAACTGAATGGTACAACCTTGAGAGTCCGAGGTACAACCCCTAGAGTAAGTCCATCCCCCACTAAACCCAGAATAAACCCCTACAACCCATAAGTTCGCTAAGATGCGTCTGAGAATGCTCTAGAAAGAATGGTTTCGGGTTTAAAGGCCTTGACTTAGATGTTTATGGTTTAGAGGGGGTTAGGGAATGTATTCTTTAGAGTGTAGGTTTTCAGGGGTGGTGCAAGCCACCCCAAAACCCTGAAACCCAACAGCCATGCAACCCTGAAACCCTTGAAACTCTTGAAGCCCTGAACCTGAAATCCTCCCCCACCCCGTCCCAACAAAACAACAAGCGCAAAGCGTCAAGCCCGAACAGGTGAATGGCGCAATGGCCATGATGACGGACCATTGGAAAGGCTCCCTGCCTGGGACTCTCCTTACCTACCGTTTTATGGGTTACATCTACTAATTCAGTGGTAGTTACCACTAAACTGTAGGGTACATAGAGTCCCAGGTAAGCTTTGAAACCCTCAGACGTTTTAGGGACGGGGCGCTTCAGAGAGCCCTGGAACGATTTTCCCTTTCCCGAGCTTCCTGAGTTGTTGTGCACAGTCTTATTACGACATGCCAGGAGGGTGCTCAACCACTCCCTAGTAACCCCTAAACCCGAAACTCTGAACCCTAAACCCCATAAACCCTAAACTTTCCCGAAACCCTAAACACGAACCCTTTCGGGTAGTAATGGAACTACGTACGCCAAAACCCTATTTAGTATGGTTTTTGAGGTACCTAATTGCATAATGGTACTACCTGTGGACCCTCTGGGATGTAATTTAGGTCAACCACTCCTTGGCTGCACTTAGGAAGGTAGCGAAAAATTAAAATTTTAGCTACCTTACTCAGAAACCCAATAAACCCAAAAAGGCTAAGGATCTAAAGTTACGGTAAAGCACTACAAAGACTCTAGACTCTAGCCGCACCATGCGCCGGGTAGGCCTTGTGACGCGTGTCATCCCAGCCACAGGGGCTTCCTTGCAACAAGGGTTTAGGGTTTAGGGTATAGGGTTTAGGGTTTAGGGTTTAGGGTTTAGGGTTTAGGGTTTCCTAAACCCTAGACCCTAAACCCTAAATCCTTAACCCGAAACCTTAAGGGGGCGTAAACCCTCACACCTGAACCCCAACTCTGCAAACCCAAGAACATCCCAGCAGGAGACCCTCACACCCTACAAGCTTCCAACTGTGAACCTGGAACCCCCTATATACCGAACTCCAAACTATAAACCCTAAACCCAAAACCCTTCAGCCCTTGAACCCCAAGCCCAGCTTGGCCTGCGCGGGCGCCTGCGCGGGCGCCTGCGTGGGAGCCGGCGCGGGCACCGCGGCAGCTGCTGTGGGCTGTGGCGGCGTTGTCGAGGCCCAGGGCGCTGGTGGTGTGGAGCCTGCCCACTTCGCATAAGGGTTTAAGGTTTACTGATTTAGGGTTTAGGGTTTGAGGGTTTTGGGCTTGGGGTTTTAGGGTTTAGGGTTTTCGCTGGGTAGTTAAGGCCCAATTAAAACTGCACCTGGAACCCAGTTCGCGTTCAGGGATGGGGTTCGGGGGTTCTCATCTTACATCCTAGATATCACCACATGTTCAGGGACTTACGGCTATATCTACAGCTACACTAGGGGTTTAAAGAAGTACCCATCTCCTGCAAGTAGGACTCGCCACCCACGGTGGAGGCCACTTTGCATGGCCATGAGAAGTTGCTTCGACCCTGAACCCCTAAGCCCTTCCACTTCGAAACCCTAAACCCTAAACCCTAAACTCCTAAACCCTAAACAGGAGCTCCATCCATCACTCTTCAGCAGGCCCCGAATGTAAACTCTATAACATCACGCCTAAGCCCCTCCATACAAGTCACTGTTCAGGGTTGGGGTTCCGGGTTCAAGATTTAGGGTTCTGGGGCTAGGGTGTAGGGTTTGCGGTGTAGCGGTTCACGCCAAGCTTTTGGGTAGTTACGCTTAGGGCTTGGAGCTTAGGGCGAGGGAGAAGGTCTGGGGATATGGGGGGCCCCCGGAGCCCGCCCACCAAAGCAACCTGTGATGGGTTCAGGGTTTAGGGTTTAGGGTTTAGGATTTAGGGTTTAGGGTTTAGGGTTCAGGGTTTAGGGTTTAGGGTTTAGGGTCAGGATGGCACAAGCCGTAAACCCGAACCTGGAGTGCCGAAACCCCTGTAAATGCTGTGAACCTCAACAGAGATTTACTAGGATGACCCTGAAAAAACCCACTGAAATCAATTCTGAAGTATGATCCTCTTTACCCCAAGAAAAGCAAGTATACTATAATAACATAGCTATATACTATATCCCTAGGGCCTACCTAGTTTATGGTTTTCGGTTTTAAAGGCATATGTTGGGTCCAGCAGCCTGCCTGGAAAAGGGCTGGGACTCAACCGCCCGTCCGGCTGAGGCTGACTCTGAGCCGCCCCGGTGAGGTCGCTGACTGTCCGCAGTTGTCCTTGCTTGGGTTCAGTGGCTTAGGGTTTGGGGGTTTAGGGTTTGGGGGTTTGGGGGGTAAGGGTTTAAGGGTTTAGGGGCTTAGGGTTTTGGGGATTTGGGGATTAGGAGTTTAGCGGTTTAGGGTTTATGGGTTTAGGGGTTTGGGGTACGTAGAGGGTGCTTGGTATTTTGGCTTTAGGACTTACCGACAGCATGGCAGGATGGGGCCTGAACATCAGACCCTGACTCTGAATTCCAAAGCGCCGGTAGAAGCGGAGAAGCTTGCTCGGGGACCAGGCCGACTCCGGCCATAAACCCTAAGTCCTAGCCCTGAACCCTAAAGCCTACCCCTAAGCCCTGAGCCCTGAGCCCTAAGCCCTAAGCCCTAAACCCTAACCCTAAACCTGGGCTCTGCTTCTGTTTCTTTACTTCGGGTTCGGCTCCTTGGCTCTGCTGAAGCTGATTCGAGAGGAGCTGCTGCATCAACCTCGGTTTTTGTTGGTTTTTTTTGGGCCTTTACGCTCTTAAGAGGGTTTAGGGATTAGGGTTAGGGTATAGGGTTTAAGGGTTTAGGGGCTTAGGGTCTCAGGGTTCTAGGGTTTTTTGGGAGCTTGTGGGGCCTGTGAGGTTTCAGGGTCTTTAGGCTCGTAAGGCTTTTTGGGCTTACGGCTTCACGCTTTGGAGTTTTGCGGTTTAAGGGTTTCAGGGTTTCCGGGGGCTTAGGGCTTCCTAAATCTGAAACCCCCAAACTTTGAATCCGGAATCCTGAGCCCCTATCACTACGCGCAGTTAAGTCCTAAACCCCTATGCAGGGCAATGCATTAAAGGGAGTCTTTTCCACACCCTTAGGCTCAAGATAAGTGAGGCTGCTTTCTGCCACAACGCGTAAACGCCAAACCCTAAATCCCTATACCCGACAACGCCCCAAAAAGGAGGGTTTAGGGTCTAGGGTTTAAGGGTTAAGGGTTTAGGCTTTAGCAGTCCTTAATGGGGATGAAAATCGGGGGTACTATAATCCCTACTAAGGACTGTTAGTACAAGGTGGAACATCCCAACCTGAATCCCTAAACCAGTAAACCCCTTAAAAAAAGGGGCCACGGCTTTGGAACCAACCCTAAGAACCTCAACACCCTTAAGTCCTGAACCCTCACAACACCCTAAACCACCAAACCTTCGATCAGCCCTACATCCTCAACAGAAGCCCCAACACCGTAAAGTACTAGAAAACCCTCAAGTCCTAAATTGGTAGCACAGCAACCATATTTCCAATAAGGCAACCTTTTTGGGGGGTTGGTTACTTGACAAGGGAACCTTAAATCAAAACAAGGGAAAAGGGTATCACTGGGCTACTAAGCTCACTAGACCCAAGAGCAACCCAGGAAAAACAAGGGCGCCTCTTTTTTGGTTTAAAGGGGATTGTAAGGGAACCTAAACCCTAAAAAAAAGGGAATAAGGGCCTACTCTGGGTCCTAGCTCAACAGCCCGGCGGCTGCTGCTGCTGCTGCATCTGCTGCACGATCTGCTGCTGCTGGGCCAGGAGTGCGCCCTGCGCATCCGAGAAGGGAGGCGTCGAGGCCCTGCGGCAGTTTGGGGATTGTAGGGTTTAGGGTTTCGGGTTTCGGGTTTAGGGTTCAGGGTACTCAGTAACCCATTGTAACTGTAGTTGTAACCCACATTTAAGCCACTTAAGTACCCGAATAGGGTTATAATGGGGTCATGAACCTCCCAGCAAGGCATTTAGGGCGTTCAGGGCTCTAGGACATAGAATGTTGCACGGTTCAGAGGATTCAGGATTCGGGTCTCTATTGAGTGTTAACCGAACCCTTCTCATTGCG